ATGGAACAGATCTTCAATTGTCGGATCCTAGTAGAGAAATACCTGCAACATCAGAAGGAGGTGTTCCACAACTTTGTTGATTTCAAGAAAGCATTTGATGGTATGACAGTCTTTGGTAAATCCTTAGAGAATTCAATGTAAATAATGGAATTATCCAAGTCATCCAGGCCCTATATAAAGATGCCACCAGCGCAGTTGTTCTGGGAAACCAAATGGGAGGATCTTTCCGGACAACTGTCAGCGTGAGACAGGGATGTGTACTTTCACCCACATTGTTCAACCTATTTCTAGATAGAATCGTACAAGAAACCTTGAACGACCATGGTTCTTCAATCTCTATCGGTGACAGACCCATTTGTAACTTATGTTTTGCAGATGACATTGGTCTCATAACAGGTAGTAACAGTGAGCTCCAGGACTTGACCAACAAACTTGTTGAAAGTGCAGGAGCATATGGAATGGAGGTCAGCTCTGAGAAATCCAAAGTAATGGTGAATAGCACAAACAGTAACCCCTGTGTCAACATTACCATGAATGGGAATTCACTGGAAGAAGTGTCCAGTTTTAAATACTTAGGAGCAATCTTGTCTAAAGATGGTACCTGCAATTCAGAAATCCACACACAGATTGCCGCAGCCATAGCAGCAATGGCCAAATTGACATGAATATGGATGAACAAAATCAGCTTTCAAACAAAGTACAGACTGTAGAAAATGCTGGTAGTCTCCATTCTCCTATATGGATGTGGAACGTGGACACTGTTGGCAGATACAGAGAGGAGGATCCAAGCGTTTGAGAACAAATGCATGAGAGAACTCCTTGGCATTTTCTATTGGGAACAAAAGAACAATGAGTTTGTGTGGAAAAGGGTTGAAAGTTTTGTGGGACACCAGGAACCTCTTCTTGCCACTGTCAAATGGAGAAAAAAGGTGTGGTTTGGACACATTACAAGGCATGACAGTCTGTGCAAGACCATCATGCAAGGCACCATTGAATGTGGATGTAGGAGAGGATGGCTGCTGTTAATAGACTGTTGTGGAAAAGAGTTAGTGGCTTCCGCATTCAGATCTGTCCTACAATTTCAAAAATTAAGGTGTTGATGATGATGATGATGGAAAAATTAAGAAAAAGAAACTAAATGAAATTGGGTAGACTATATACCCAAAACACATATTTTAAAAAAAAAAAAAATTCAGTGTCTCCTTTCATTCATGCACATGTGTAATCACATCAATGTAAACATCACTTTAGTCTGATGAAATTGTAAAGGACAAAATGTGTCACATAAATATTTTTTCCACTTTTTTCTGAAGATTAAGTACATATAGTTATTTTCCTGATTTCATTTATTATTCACTGCTCATATTAAACAAACAAGCATCTTTCATTACCATTAAGAATTTATCTATTTTCCTCATTCATTCTAGTACAACACAAATTACACAGAATTTGAATCATATTTGTATCTCATTTGAATGGTGCATTCAATTACAAAGGCATTTTATAATTTTTGATGATGTCAGCTTTCAGTGAAATTTGTTTTGTGTAAACACTGTCCCTACTTTCCCTCCCACTAATATCTCTTGTCATTAATGTTTGCAGAATTTTGAAATGTACATTTAGCATATGTCTGGTTAATATGACTATGAAACTACAAATTTTCTCAACATATTTTTATCAACTAGAATGTATATTGAATAATTTAACTTGTTTATTTGTCTGTTAGTAAAATGTGTACTTCACAAAAATATTTAAAATGTAATAACCTTAAATAAATTTATAACCAATTATAGATTGACGATTCCTAGACAGAACAATCTTTGTCTAGAAATCATCAGTTTCCAAATGACATTCTGATAAGTGAAAACAAAATAGAAATTGTTGATGACATCATTTGCTTAGATGGCTCAGTTAACAACTCTATTTCAATATCTGTTTCAAAAGACATTGAACTGTTTCTGATAAAATATCAGAGCAATAAAAAACTGTTGCTTCCTTTTCTTGCAGATGAAGCATGATCATGAAACTGTTAAGATTTGTAAAGGAAGACCAGACTAAAAAGATAATTACATTTTCCAAACTGAATGAATTTGTAAGAATTTTGTCAAATCCAAACATGCATTATACAAAAATCAAGTGTAGATTTCTGGCAGATAGTGCTATGAAAAATTTATGAAAAAAAGGAAATTTGCCAACAAAAGATTTGTTTGCATGCAGAATTGCAACAATGTTCATCATTATCATTGAGAAAATTCTAGCAAATTCTCCCCTTAGGTACACTCTTGTAAGGTCACTTCCATGGCTGAGCTCTGGATGTATTTGTGAAAAGAAAATTGCCACAAGCCTACAAGTTTAATTGTGATGAAATCATCAGTCAGTACACAGAATTTGAGGAGGAGGCTGATAGAAATATTGCTTTCAAGAATGTCTGCAAGCATGAAGACCATCTGGAAAGTTTATTCTACACTCTTCTTTGTCTATTATAAGCGTGGAATTATTCTAAACGGTTAAATTAGAAGCAGTCCTGTAACAATATTTTATGTTACTGTATTGAATCTTGACACTATGAATATTGATATTCAGTGAAAACTCAAGTAGAAGGATACCTACACACTGACTCACCTTTCCCAGTTCATTCAATAATAGACTAAATAGGACCGGAGCCATCAAAATCTGGTAGAACTTTCAGCTCCAATTTTTTTCTGCCATAACTCAAAAACTGCAGAAATAGCTTGTAGTCAGTCTTCCACAATGGTAAAGTCCTTGCCCATAATTAATGTTCTTGCTGTAACTCACTTGTCTTGCCAGAAATAACCTGCCCTAAAGTGGTCACATGTCCCCTTCAACAAAATGTACTAGGCTTTTATTCCCTTGGAATATCAACTATTAGTCAGAGAATTCTTATACATTGTGAGATCAATGTGTGTAATTCTCAAAAAAAATTATATACTTGATTTACACAATGACAACAAACCAATGCTGATGCTACAACATAGCTGCTGCTCTCTTTCCTATTGAATGAGTTCACAAGTTTTCCCACTACACTAACAATGGAGAACCATATTAACCTTTTTAAAGGATTATTTGTAAGTTTATATGTTAAAACTTTTTTAAAAATGGAAATTAAAAATTTTCTAATGAATTAAATTGTTGAAATATGTAAGTTTACTTCTGATCTGCAAAGGACAAGAAATATTGTATAACATTCAAGTATATTTACTAATACTCTGTTTTAATCAGAGGAAAAGTGCTTGATCATATTCTAAAACATAACTATCAATTAATTTAAAGATTTTAATGTCATGCTCTTCTCCTATGTGATTTTTGTGTCATAGCTATTTTTTTCATTTCATACCTTCTTGTTTTTTTTTTTTTCAAACTTTTTTGTTTCTTCATTTCATACCTTGTTTCTTCATTTCATACCTTGTTTCTTCATTTCATACCTTGTTTCTTCATTTCATACTTTTTTTTTTTTTACAATTTCATACCTTTTTTCATTTCATAACTGTTTTTTTTTTCATTTCATACCTCTGCTATTATAAACAAATTAATTATAGCTATTAATTAATTATAGCTATTATAAACAAATTAATAAATTATAGCTATTAATTAATTATAGCTATTATAAACAAATTAATAAATTATAGCTATTAATTAATTATAGCTATTATAAACAAATTAATAAATTAATTTATAATGATGTTTTAAACTAATTTATAATTGCATCAACTTGTAATAAGCTGAAATAAACTTTTGCAATTAAAACTTTTTTTTTTTATCTGAAATCCTTTATTGAATATAGATCTTAAGGGAACTAGTAGAAATGATGTTCTTAGTTCATTTAAGTACAACACATAGTTATTTAAGAATACCATCAAAATTTAAATCAATGGCAGTAACAAGCTGTTACTCTAAACAAATAAAAAGGATAACAAGTAGAAGAAAAAGTATACTAATGTCCAGTTTGCTTGACACCTGACTAAATAGCAGTTAATAATACATTTTACTTGATCTACTTTACTTAAAAAATTGGGTGGACTGCTCTTTCTTTTTTAAACTTGTTTGTCTCCTTTTATTCTATTTTTGTATGGGTAAGTTCAACAGAGTTCTGATAATTATTTTTTTTTTTTTTTTTTTTTTTTTTTTTTTTACTTATTGTTGCAAACTGTTGTGGCTATTCATGTAATATCAAATACCAACAAATGTTCCCTATTTATAATCAGTCTGTTGACTTTTTGTACCTTACTCAATAATTATCAATGAGAGTTCCTATCACCTACAAACTCCTACTATCACATTATCTTTCCCAACTACAACTACTATTACTATGATTACTACTATTGAAAGTTATATTGCAACTGGTGTAAGTACTTGTGCTGTCTGCTTATCTAGGGCCTTCCTTTTGCCAATAGTTTTCCTGTTGGATCAATAGTTTCACTCCGTTTACTCCCCTCCATTCATTCTTTCTCTCACTCACAACTGCCAATAACCAGGAGCATGTACAGCACTAATGTTTAGATAACTGTGACAGGCTAAGAAATATCTTTTTCTTAATTATTTTGAGAGAAGTGAATGGAGCAGCAAATGTGTCAATTGGAAACAAGGAATAGAATAAGAAGTATAATTCTTAAAGATATACGCCCAAAATACTAACCTTCTCAAGGTCCTTTATAGAAACAATTTAATAGAGATTCAAATGGAGACTTTCCCATACCACTGCTGATTATTTCAGGGTATTTTGAAATTTCCTTTTTCAGTTTATTTTTGTCAAGCTACAGGTTTTAGAAAATAATTCAAATTTTTAAAAACTAATTTAGAATTATTTTAACTGTCAGGACTTTTCCGAGTTTCTTATATGCTCTTCACAAAAGAAACGCCTATTTACCTACTTGCAATTCTACTTATTGATCAGAAAGGCAAACTGACTGATACTTAAAGAACAGCTTTATCTCTAACTACCTGTGTTGTCTTGGTAAAATTATTATAAACTTCATGAAACCATGTCTTTACCCTCATCACCATCCCTCAATACAGAATCATCACTTGTTACAAACTCAACAATGGAGGAGGATTCTGTTGATAACCTGAGCTGTGATGACTTTATTCTTGGGTAGGTACTATCTTTCTGTCTCTTTTCTCTTCTTTCTCATTTTTCTGCCTTTTTTTTTTTTCTTTTTTTTTGGGGGGCTACAAAGTCAGCTGTCTTTTAAGCCACTTTATTTTTTAGTTCTAAAAGAAAATTTCTGCTGTTCACAAAATGCCCACTTATCATTTCTCAATTCTAATTGTAATTATATTTGAACAATTTAATTATCACATTTAAAGTTATTTATCGCAAATATAGATGAAATGAAAAAAGTTGAAAATTATATTCCTTTTTTGTATACAATCTAAATCTAGTTAATGTGAATATAGTAAATGACATTTTTTTTTTAAATTTCACAACTAATTACATTTTTTGCATTCTAACTTTTGACCAGCTTTTATTATAAAAGTAAAAATTGAGATTTACTTAATGCACATGTAAAAACAAGCCAGTTTTATACCATGTTAATTTACAGATTCCAAAACTAGCAACTGTATATTCTTCAAAAATAATTATTCACAGTCCATAAGGTTAAACCTTTCATGCTGAACTGTATTGTTATGAAGTATAAATAATTTTCTTGTAAACAGTTTAGATACCTATATTTGTTTAATGCTTCACTGAATCATGTTGTTTGAGGTCAATGTGACTTTGAACTCATATTTTTTCTCACTACATTTATTTTCTGCTGGTAATAGTAACAAAAGTTTTGACACTTTTTCTTTTGCTTTTTATTTTCCTCAGTTAAAACTCAAAATCATCATTAGACTGTTATTATTTATATTTGAAAAGTAAAATGTAACTTGAAATTGTATAAAAATACAAAACACTGTTCTACTTCATGTTTATGTTTATTGAAATAAATTTGTTTTATGCTTTATATTTCTTTATTCATTAGCAAATATCTATTTAACTTCCCATTATCCTTGAATTCTGCAACTTGTAACAATGTTAAAACATCTCAATATCATGGCTAGATAGAAATCTATCCAAACTGTATTACTGATAGATTTTTAAACTATAAGATAGTTAAGTCATTATTCAGTTGTAATTTTCTTCAAGTGTATGAAAAGATTTGAAAACATTTATTCAGCAACATAATAAAGTATAAACAAAAAATGTACTTTGTTTAAGTTTTGGTTTGTTTGACTGATAACTTTCAGCTTATTCTTTCATAACTTTCTCTCAGTATGATCAATGCAGAATATTATTGAAATAATGAAACTTGTAAATGCCAACAGTCTGCCTATTTTATTTGGTCTTAACAATGTCAACCAAACAATTTCCTTGTGCAATAGAATGAAATGTTTTATGGCTTTCTATCTCAAGTTGCAATATAGGTTATTATTTATAATACAGATATTTAAAACTAAAATAATGCAGCTTAGCCTGAGGTGATGGTTACCATGGATAGTTTGGTTGACCATTACTGTTAAGTAGTAAGTTTTATCTTCACTGAGTGTCACAAAATTTAACATTAAATTACCCAACAAAGGTGATAACGAACACCCAATCGATTAAATCTAAAATAAGAATTCTTTAGTAAGGAATAATTTTTATCAGAAAATTTGTCAATATATCATTGAAATGCTTATATGCTAAGAAATTTAAGGAGATTGTAAAACATTTAAGATCAGCTTAATATTAATTTACTGTGTGTTCAATTCTCTTGGATTACTAACTGGATTAAGCCATAACTTATTGGTATTTGAGGTTTTGAATATCAAGATATTATAAATTCAATTTATGAGTCAAAGGATCAATGCAGTTGTTAATATTGATGGCTTTTGTTGTGTATTATAAAATTAGTGTATTTTAAGCCCTAAAAAAGATTTGTTATATTAAAAGCTATAGATTTCTGTGCTAAAATCTCATTACAGTTTTGAGTTTTGACGTGATTTTTGTTTATTCATTAATAAGGTGTGTGTAAACCATACTTATCTTAATTTCAACTTTAGAGTTCAATTTTTTTTTAGATATAATTTTGTTGCATACTATAATATATATAGTATTTTTCATATATTTAATTTTGGAATATGTACATAACAAATGTTATAGAACATTCTGAAGTGTATATATCTTCTTTATATAAACTCTTTTTGACATGTGATCACTTAAAGCTTCATACTACAATACAATGTACAAAATAAATTAGTAAGCATTTTTTTCAGCTTGGCACATTTCTATTTTAGCCGATATTTTTTAACTTAAATTTGGCATGTGTTAATATATATATATATTTGACTAAAAATACTTAATTTTTTAGCTATCATTTTATTTTAAAAATTAAAACCTTATCTAAGATTCTTATATATTATAAAGTAATACTGAATTCACTGAATAGCATCCCAGCATAAATTCCTTATTTACAGTAACAATTATTTGGTTTTTCCGCCAATTTATGTTTGCCAATAAAGTTGTCTACTCTTCTCTAATTAATTATTGGAAATCTATTCTGTTGTCGTTTCATTTATAGACATTAGTTATTTTTGGTATCCAAATGATATTTGTATGAGAGAAAATGATTGTCATTTCCTTCAGTATTCAAATGGAAGGATATAATTTATAATTGACTATAAATTATCTTTGTGTATCAGATAAACTAAAGAATAAAGTTAATTATTTATATTTATAATCTAAATTAATATTTAGGATTCAGTCTTGATTAATAACTGTCAATTTATTTTCTTTTTATTCTGCTAATTAATGCAAATATTTCGTTATTAATATTTTCATTGCAATGAGAAAACAATTAGGTGTATAATTTGGGGAAATTGAGTCTTAAAAGATAATTTTTATACATATAACTATGCATACATATATCAATAAATCTATACTTATGATGAAAAAAATCTTTTTTTTCTTTATTTTTTTACACAACAAATATTCTTCAACATAAACTTTTCCTTGTCAATGCACTTAATTCAGTGGTAAATATTAATCAAGTAGATTAAACATTATATAATAAAAATTTCAAATCCTATTTCAGCTAATATCTGTAACACACTTTGGCATTTTTGATCCACCCTTGTATAATTACATCTACTAAAGAATGATTAGAATGAATAAATGCATGTGTAACACTATAGCTAGGGATTGGCTTATTGTTCTGGTCATGAAATGTAGTACCACACATTCTTTCCATGGTAACCTAAGAGTCAAGAATCCTTGGTCATATTACAAGATGCAGCAGTATGGCTATTAGTGTTGTCCAGTTATCTCATTGGTTAGTCTGGCAGCAACCTGGACGGGGAACTCCACCACCCACATGGTGTTTACATAAGATCTAAAGTCCAAAACTTTGGAATGAAATGTTGCAAGCTGGTGCAAGCCTCATGTCATGCAAAACTAAAGCTGACAGATTTGTAAGTCTTAGGATAATGATGAAAACCAGAAAAACTTAACTAAAATAAATTATGTTTTGTTAAATTCTTGTTATTCATTACACAGACGTTTCAAACTAGCAACTTATTTTCCCCAATCCTAATGCTTGACAATAGTGGTTGGTAAACTGGTGTTCTGTTCATGGCTGCAACTATAATCTGCTCTTCCTATGTCTTTGTTTTATCTTTGTCTGTATCTCTGCTGGACTATGGAACTAACTAAAGTATACACTTGTATATAGAGAACTCAGCCTGCTAATTTGTTACCAATAATCTATAGAATATGATTTGACCATTAATTTACATGCTTTAGAAGTTTTCTTTGTTTTGGAAAGCACATGGCCTGCTTGCCACTTGACTGAATTCTAATAACCTGATTCTGTTAACATATTCTTCCTATGAAATTACCAATGTATGTCTTTATGTAAACTACATAGTCTATTGGTTAGTATGGCCAAATTTTTGTACAATTTTTTTCTCCAAAATTATTTTGCCTAAGAAATTTTACCAATCCAATGGATACATTTTATATAAAGATTATTGTTATAAGTTATTGACATTTGGAAAGACATTCATGGAAATATGTTTTGAAAATAATATCCGAAAAAAATGTTCATGAAAATGTTTTGATATAAATATTCCAAATATCAATAACTTATAATACTGTCAGGATTACATATTCAAATTTATTACATACTGTCAACAAGGAGAATGAATAAAAAACAATTCTTTAATTTATTTTCTACCCATTCTGAAGAATTTTCATCTCGAAACTCAGACACTTAAAAGCAGAGAATATAAAAAATGTTAAACAATTATTTTAAGTCACTCATTTTCTTTCTTTTTTAGTCTTGAGCAATGCCAGCTTGGAAAAAATAATATAAGATTTAATTATTTGAAACACACACAAATGCATACACACACAACGCATTTTTTTGTTATTCATTTGATGAAGCTGTTGAAGGCAAAATGCATTATTGGATATTATTTTCAAAAGATATTTTTATGAATGTTTTTCGAAATGTCATTAACTTATAACACTGCTGGGATTACATACCCACATTTATTACAAAGATTATTGTTAAAATTACAAAGTACTAACATACACAAAATTTCCAGGTGCTTATATATATATATATATATATATATATATATATATATATATATATATATATATATATATACCAAGAAAATTTCTGTTGGTGTAAGAAGTTTCTATGTTTTTATTATGTTGAGACTGATTCAGAAGGATGTTCTGTCTACCCATCATATTAGTTGTGTAATTTACAAATTCAGATATCAGTGCAATTCTGACTATGTAGACAGAATGTATCAAAGGTTGGAGGCACAGATCAACTAACAGCCAATATTCACAATGGAAAGGGGTAGGCAATTTACATAGGCCTGATAATATAACAGGTTCAGCAATAGCTGAACATTTGATTAAAAGCCAGCTTTATGCTTGGTCTTCTAACCCAGACATGTTCTCAATGCTGACTAAGGCTAATACTGATTATCACTTGAAGATTTTGGACTCTTTATACATCAAACCCTATCAACCATCTCTATGTAAGCTGAAGAATTGGTTAGTGGGATTAAAGTTAATTAGCCTTTAATGTAGCAGATAAAGTCGGTAGCATA